AGAGAGAGAGAGAGAGAGAGAGAGAGAGACAGAGAGAGAGACAGAGAGATATTAAGAGAGAAAGGGAGAGATTGTTTTACGACTTAGATTGTGGTGATGATGTCACAGATGAATACTTATCTCTAAGTTTAAGGAAGTTGCATATATTAATTATGTACAGCTCTCTGTATAACATTCACATCTTAAGAAGGTGTGTAGTTTTCGTGGTTCTGGGGATTGAACCCAGGACCTCCTGCATATTAATCAAGTGTATTCTCACCGAGCCACATCTCCGGTTACGAGGTGTAAGTTAGTCATGGAATAATACACAAACATGTGCTTTTTATTTCGGTCAAAATTATTCAGCATTTGTTGCAATTTTCAATTTGAATATAAGAAAACTAACAGAGAACAGTGTGCAGATCTCAGATCAGCAGTAAAGTTGATAATTTTTTTCCAGAATTATGACTGGACTGGAATGTGGAGGTCAATTCTGAGACCCTAAGCAGAGGCTGGAAATTATTGGGGGGGCATGGGTTCCCTGACTCTTCACAAATGGAGATTCTGCCTTCCTCTCTAAAAGACATCTGGTGCTTTCTTCCTTATGGCACATTTGGTGACATTTTCATGAAGCAAAAGCCTTACTCAGCTAACACTCTATAACATGCAATGAATCAAGACATAAAAAGGACAAATGGCATTCTAGTGGAAAGACCGCAGATTTACGCCAGTGCCAAGAGGAGGCTGGTTACAAATGTAAAGCACAATGTGCTGTCTTAGCAAACGGAGGTGTCATGCTCAGTCATCAATTTTAATTAGTGTCAAAGCCCTGTACTCAGTGTCTCTATGTTCTGACCAGTAAGGGAAAAGCAAACAAACGAAGAGACCATGGACTCTCGTAGCAATAAAAATTAATGAAGCTGTCACTAACAGCAGTCTCGGTTATGATCTGCTGGGATCCATTTGTTATCTAACACCAAAAGATCACTGAATATTTTTATAGGGACTTTTAAGTGCTGAGGTTTTAAAATGACCTAGCTTGCTGTAGCCCCTGGCCTCAGTGAGTCCATGGGCTTATAGGTAGAGATCTGTAAAAGGAATGACCAAGCATCAAGGGAGTAATACAGTGACTCTCATAACTCTAGACAAGCTTCTTGAGGACAGTGACTCCATGAGACAGGTGCTAAGTTTAAAGAAAACAAGCAATGATGAAGGGGAAAGGCAGCTGGGGTCAAGGAAGCCCCTCATGAAGACACTGGTA